ATGGATTTCTTCGGGACGAATTCTAAAACTTTGGACATTTTTTGGCCACGCGCCATTTCTGCACTAGAGTCTTCAAAAGCTCATTCCTTTATAACCAGACAAGAAGTCAACTTGCGCTCTTCAGCAGCCTTTAAACGAAGCCTGACTGTGATTGTCGGCTCAATTTCAGGAAAGACCATCGATATATTTCTTCGGAACGAATTCGGAAACTTTGGATATTTTTTGGCACCGCGTCATTTCTGCACTAGGGTTTTCAAAAGCTTATTCCTTTATAACCAGACAAGAAGGCAACGTGCGCTCTTCAGCAGCGTTTAAACGAAGCTTGACTGTGATTGTCGGCTCAATTTCAGGAAAGTCCATCGATGGATTTTTTCGGAAGGAATTCGGAAGCTTTGGACATTTTTTGGCACGGCGTCATTTCTGCACTAGAGGTGCAACCGGGCATTAGGCAACAGGCAACAACTTGGTTTATACAGGGTGATACAAATTCAAGAAGCTTGAGGTTAATTTGAAGGAAAAGGTTGATTCATAATGAATTTTGAATAACGGTAACAAGCTCAAAGCCTAAARGATTTTTTGCAGAAGTGCACAATTTAGTGAAGAATTGATCAACTGCTAATTTTTGCTTTCATAACMTCAGTTCGCAACATCAGCTTTCATTAGTTATAAAAATAKTCAATACATTTGATTAAAGGGAAMARATAGTAACTCTTCTTCAACCATTACTTGGGAAATGTTYAGTCAAATTTTCGAAGATAGGAAGCAGCTGMGCAAAACYGTTGAAAGTTTATTCATGTCTCGTTCTGGTGCTTGCTTTTGTRAAACTTAAATAGTTTTTTAACGTTTTAACGTTTAAAGTCTTAAGCGTTTCCTATGAGCAGATACTTTGTACAGTACGAGCTCAGMATTTTTTGAATTAATAARMAAAAAWTTAAAATKACATWTTAAWARYTMAWWKTTRWAAATTTTAAATGRAKTARMAYWWGACAAAKKYTAAAAMTYAAAAKWACWMMTTRAATTTACWKRTKTAGCACATTGTTATWWATTTTRARWGSAGTAGMACRRTWYAAAGGCTCTCMWWAGAACACATGTCACTAATTTMTGGAGGCTGATGTGAACCGTTCATTGAAAAAAACAATGTTTGCCTCATACGGTTTGATCAWTAGATACTCTTTTCATMTTCTTAGATCCAAAMGTGYTTTTGAGTTTCACGAATCTGCYGAGAAAAGCAACTCTCCTASCATTTATATTCCGTTATTTCGCAACTTACTGGTAAAACTTTCACAGGCCGTTTCAAGCGCCTGATTTCYTGGAAATGCGTACTGTAATGGTTGTCTCTATCCAGTTCCGGCAATTCCTTTCCATAAGCATCAAAGTGGCGAGTGTGCACCCGAACGCCTGTTAAATGGGTGTGAAGTTGAGAACCGAAAACGGTGATGCCTTCATTGTGCAAACCCTGCGAAACCACGTTTAGAACCCAATTGGGCGATAAGAATTCAAGAGAAGAACCTACAACAGACGTGCAAGAACTTATGCAATACCCTGTAAGGGAAAACGATTCTTGTCCGGGGGGAATTGCCATTTTATCAGTGTACTCCAATCCGAGCTCGATTACTCCTGCATCCATTTCTTTGAGCTTATCGGAGACGTAGAAGCGAACTCCTGAGCTGTCGATCACACCTAAACCCACGTAACTGCTTGAAAAGATACGGAATTTAATTAATCACCTACCAGACTTGAGTTCAGGATTATTGTAATGGATTTCCAGCATTACGTAAGGATTGAACTTGTTGCCTCCGAGTGGAAGCGCTGCTTCCTACAAAAACCATCAAAAAATTGCGGCTTTATGGATAAATAAATACCTCTGGATAAGTGAATGGTTGTGCGCCCATAGCCCATGCAGCCAAGACCCTTTTGCAAACTTGCGTTTTCTCTGGGCGATCTTCTCCAAAGCAGTTTCCATTGTACAAAGGAATTTTCTCCATAGCACTAGTTTCGCAATGGAAAATTTCCATGTGATGCACCAACCCTTGGCTGGTGCTTTCAATGTTGGCCTCGTACTGCAAATTCAGATTAATCGACCACCCGAGTCTTTTGCTTCTTTCATACTTGATAAATGTGATGTTTTCGCCTAAAGCTTTCAGGCAATTTGAAAACTTTGCACCAATAAGTGGTTTCCTCATTGGGTACCTGGACTTTGTCTGTTAGCAGATCCAGAACTTGTACGTGTGAAGGTAGCTGTGAATGGGCTTTTAGATTTTTCAGTAAGTTCACTCGAATCATGCCGAAGTTTTCGCGGATTGTGGTGCTGATGTTGAGCCCATTGGGAGCGACAATGTGTTCCAGTCCTCTGGACCATACAATATGAGTGGTTCCATCCTGGATTAATATTTGAACAATATTCGAAAATAATTATTTTCCATGCTAGTTTCCAAGTATTTATATTTAGCATATAGAACATATTTAAATACTATTAAATTATTATCCTTCCTGGGTCTCAGTCAAAGTGCGAAGCAAAAATTTTGAATATCGTTTATTTCATTACGTTTCGGCGAGACAACAGCGCCATCATCAGACTTAAAATTTACACAAACTACAATAACACAAAAAATCTTCCTTTTGGGAGAGCAAAACATTTGGAAAACTTACCTCATAATTGGTTAACGTATTATAATAATTAACGTTCTTTTAGGTATTTGCTGTTTTGAACGTTAAATTTGTTTGAATTATTTTCTACATTTGCGAGAATAGTATGCATGTATTGAGATAAGCAGAAATAGGTTACATTTTTCACTAGTGTACTGGGTGTTCTATACTTATGACTTTATTAGGGTGTGGAAAATGTTGCTAAGGTTGCCGTTATCTGATCTGAAATTTACTGCTTTTGCATGTTTTTTTTATTTGTATCATTTCTTGGATTCTTCCTTTATGTTCATTTGTTTCCTTAACTAATATATCTTGCGTTGTTAAAATCAAAATTATGGAAAATTTGGAGTGCATGTTGTGTTAATACTGTTTTATTTTCACTAGTATTTCTCAGACTGTATATATGTTCGTACATTCTCTTTTTTAAATATTGTTTAGTTTGTCCTATATATGTATTATCAGATTCTAAACAATCAGTTTTTGGTTTTAGTTTTGGGAAACATTCAGTTGATAAGTTGTTTTTTGTTTTTTCCGCAATTATAATGTTCTGTTGTTTTAGTATTTTTGATATTTTTTTATTGATTTCTGGAACATATGGTAGTGATATTGTTTCTTTTTTCCTGATTATTGTTATATTTTTTGTCTTATCCCAGGAAGGATAAGAATATAATAACAATTGCACGCAGCCAGTGAAATAAATCAAAATATTTAAATACTGGTGCGTTTTTTGGGTGTTTGCACCGTCATGGAATAAAATTAATTGCACGTGAAAATTAGCAGTTTCAACAGTTTTTCACAGTTCTGATGAAGCACTTGTTTTTCTGTTAGATTCTGTTCAATAAATTATGTCTAATGTTGAATTAGACTGTTTGAACAGAAGGTTCCAACCGAGAATAGGCTCCCAACTACAATTGTTTAATGCATATGGAAACGATATTTTCAAAACTCTTTTAGAGCTAATTTTTAATTCCAATATTTCCCAAATGAAACTGTTAATTAATTGAAAATTTACCAACAACAATAAGACTACTACTTTTACCCGAAAGGACATGCCTTTCATCTACTAAATATAATTCAAAATAGGTCAGTCAATTTGGAAAGGATGAAATTATATTCCAGTAAATCAAATCCTACTAGATAATTTTATTTGGTTTTACATAAACAATGTTTTTAGTCCCTAAGAGAAAATTTAACCAATAGAAAAACTGTTAAAAAGCTGCAAAAGCACTGGAATTTTTCTACAATTCAGAAACTGAATAGACTAAAATTATAAAGCAAAATGTAGAAAATGGACTCTAATGCAATACAAGCTCAAATTTTTGGTTAAATCATAACTACAATTTTATCGAATTTTACCACTTTCATCCAATAGCTTAAACACATGTTTTCAAATCCTACACTAATTATTGCTTCGACATTAAATAGAGCAAAATAATTAATGTAGTTTTAGCAGAGGATTTCTTAATGCCAAGTAAGCTCGATTAGCTTTAAATTCTCTCAATTAACTTTAAATATAAAAACAAACAAGAAAAAATATATAATTTATTTTTCTACCTTCATTCCTCTAGCAAATTTATGGACTAATTAATTAAAATATAGTCAAAAATTTTCTTAAAAAATGTGAAAGAGAGCGATTTTAGAAGCTAAAAAAGACAAACGTACCGACACAGGGGAACGAGTTGCACAAAATTGACTTCACGAACCAAATAGTGGCGAAAAGTAAATAAATATTAGAAGTTGAAAAACAATCCCAGAAAAAATACATTTTAAGCAACAAACAGATAAACCATAAAACGCAAGTAATGTATACAGTTTTACAATTTCTTCTTGTAGTTATTGTTGTCATTTTTTACTTAACTTTGTTTCAAAATTAAATATACAGTAAACCGCGCATTATTGTTATTATTACTATTAGAAATGTCGATGGGAATTTTGAGATATATCGGGCCTTTTCTATATTCGCTTTTTCGTTCCTTTTTCTTATTTAATAACTTATTTATTACTTTTAACAGTTTCTTGAAGTCAATAAAACATTTCCTATACAACAGTTGTAATACAAATGCCAAGTTCGCTTATAAACATGCAATTTTTCAAAAATTATGAAATTTTAGTATTAGGAAATGGTTCCAACGTACTGTTTTAGTCAGATACACCAGAATGAACATTAAAACAATAAACAAAACAATAAAGTAATATTAAATGTATCAAAGAGTAAAAAGTTAACTAGATATGCAAAACGATAAATGTAAAAACACCTTATGTATGATTTAGTATTGTTTTAAAGCAGTTGTTTCTTACCTGAATTATGTAATCTCGATTATCGCAAGTATCAAATTTTCTCTTGAAGGTAAATTTCACAACATTTCTAATAATTTTAAAGCGAAAATTGTTGCAATCTTGGTGTCTGTCCAGCTCTATAACTCCTGCATCGTTAGCCCAAACATCCTTGAAAATGCAGGGTGATTTATAATGACACATTTCTGGGAACCAGCTTATTTATTTTTTGAATTAGCTTTTTGTTTTCGAACGAAAAACAACACGTTTTGAAAACGCTAATTGAAAAATTCTTAAATTAACTAATGAAGGAAATGTGACAAAAGGTGTGAAACCAATTGATACAATTTTGTCTCGAGAGAGACGATTTTACTTAAACCTGTTAAGCAAATTATTATATATACATGTGCATGTACTGGGCTCACCTTTAAGTCAAATTTTTTACTATTTTTCCAAGAAGAACTTTCCCATAATAGACAATAATCCGCAGGAAAGCTGTCTCCTCGATCAGAAAACCCGAAAGCAAACCATCCAAACTTATCGGGTAGATGAATTTCGAAACTCAGAACTTTTTGCTGATAGTCGATCATCCAGTGCAGGGAAATGGAACTGTCTCCATTAAGGGAAATATTGAAAATCTGGTTGTCATCTGCATTTGGAAAATGAGTAACGGCGCCTTAAACACATGCCTCTACTTACATTTAGAGCATGTGGCGAATTGTCCTAAACTGAAAGCACTAATCAGCACAAAGAAGAACTTACTTGGGCGCATTGACCACATAGCGCTTACATTATTTATTGAAAATAGTAAAAAGTTTTCGGTCACCGTTATTTTAACTGGAACGAATCGGTTGAGCTCTAAAGGGGAATCTGGAGGAAAATCAGATTTATACCGAAGAGCCTCTTAGGTTCCAGATAGGGCGCATGTTCCCGATGACTCAAGGTGTTCGGCGGATTAGTCAAACTAACGTCGTAGACAGTTTTTATTTTTATAAATCGACACATTTAGTTACATAAAAGATATGAATAAATGAATAGATCCACACTTTTGTTAGCTTTGGTTAAACACATTTTTTTTATTTTTCATCATAAAATTCTTATTTTATCAAGGACTGAAGTCAACATATGGAAAAACTGGTTCCTAAGGTTAATGTTGCAGCCATTCTTCAAAGCGACCTAAATGAGAACAAATTTTATTTGTTTAAATGAGTGAATAAGTTGGCGATTACAGGCTGGCTCTGTTCACGGCTTCATCTAATAACCTGAAGAATTTAATGAAGTAGAATTTATTTCGCGGATTAAATTCCTCCTCGCCATTGAATGGAGCTCAATACGTGCCTCTGCGGTTTATTACATTCCATTGGAAGCCGTTTGCAGGGCCATATGATGGCTTTTTTATTAGAGTTGGCGAAAAAACTGAATATGAACTGCAAATTTGTTAAACGATTTCAAAGCCAGGGTCATGAGAAACTGATCTTGGTTGGTTGGTAAGTAGGTAAAACAGATGAAAGATATTCACTTTTGTTCAAAGCCTTTTTGTTGGGGATTTGGCCTCAAAAACGTTGGGCTTTTAAAAAATACATAATTTTATTAAGTTTTTTCTTACAGTTTGGTAAAGAGTGCTCTTATTTTACGAAAAAACGAATCATCTAGAAGACATGTTACGACACTCTTAGGCTCAAGCTGTAAGAAAAATTCTGTTATATTTAACAAAAGGTACCTAAACAAGGGTTTATTAATAAATTGACAGCGTGAATGCAAATCTGTAAAAATTTGCTCTGAATTTCCTTTTTTTTGTACAAATTAATTGTGACTTAAATCTGATTGTTCGCAGATCGACCCTCAACAAATTTGGGCCGTGAACTGAGTAATTCAGTCTAAAAATAACAGTAACAAAGTACCAGTTTGTACGAATGTGAAGAAGTTTTATAAATATATTCTTCATTGCTTTTATGTGTTTTTATTTTTATTATAACAAAAGGGGCTGTAAATGCATTAATTAATAAACCATCAAATACTAAGAGGCTGTTAAATATCTGGACACCTGATGGTATTACAACCTGAAATAAACGTGGTTTTGCTCCGATTTCGCCCGGCGAAAAATAATCAACCAGAACTTAAACCGAATTTTCAAGTCAGATTAAACGGCGGTTGCTGTGATAAGCAGATTACACTAAAGCAGTGTTTTAATGGTCGAGAATTATGATATTAATTGTTATGTAATGGAAAATTATAATTATTTTCCAGCTGGAAAAGCCAAAAGTACTCCGAAGATGCAGGATCTTGCAGACTAGCACGTCCATACGCAAAGAGGTGAATCTATGTTTGATTTTAGGAGTACAAGTTCGGATATAAATGGATGAACAGTTTCTGTGGATTGCAAACCATTTCGAACGTTTTTTAAAGGCTCGACTATCTATTTTCCTGGGTATTGACACTGAGAGCGTCAAAACTTTGCAAGAATGCACAATCTGAAAGTTTTTACGACTCTCATTTGCAGCAAGCAACTGATCGTTTGTTATTCGATAATTTAATAATCTGTTAATTTAGAAAAATGCTTTTCCTACAATTTTTTTAGCTTAACTTACTTATTTAATTAAAAACTTAAGTTATCGTTTTCTAATTCTTAATTAGTTGTTTTTTTTGTTTTTCTGGTTATTTACACAGTTATTTCCATAGTATTGTTGGAATATTTTCAAACTCGGGATTAATAATGAAAATGCAAATAGGTGATAATCAATCCAACAAATATAAATTATTAGCCAAAACCGATTTGTAAGAAAGCAAAAATCTCCTTTAAGCTAACACTAAATTGGAGAACGTATCTCTGGTTAGAAAATTATCAGATTTTTTTATTTTTTGTGACTTTTGCATATCCATTTGACATAGATCATACTCCAGAACATAAAAACGAATCCGTTGCTAATGAGTTCAAAATCAAGCAAAACCTCTTAAAAAATACCATAAAGATTAAAAATAATATTTCCTGACACTTTGCCACTCTGCATATGTTTAACGAATCGTTACTAAGTCCATATTTTTCCTTTCCTGAAATCATATTTGAGTATAGTTTTAATTCCTTAAATATAAATGTACTTATGTAAACTTCTTCTTCAGAAAGCTTCAATTTTCTGCAAAATACAGGCTGTCCGGAAATGAGGATGCAATACTTATAACATATAAGATAGCGAAGTATTTCTTATTGTTTAATCTTGGATTTTAAACAAAGTTGAGGTCGTACAGAAGCATTTAGAAACCAAAGCAAAGGCAGAAATCTTGTAGAGTTTGTGGCACTGCTTGCATGAAATTACAATTTAATTTGCTCTAGTTCTTTAACTGGCTCATTTGTGGAAGTTTGGTGTGATTTACGTTGTTCCCTCATCAATTCTAAGCAAAAAATACATCCTTGGTCAGATCAAACGTTTTGGTTATCAGCTTTAAAGAAGCGAAATGTTCACTTCTTTAACGTTGACACTAAGAAAAGAACAGACTCCCGTTTCAAGTCCTGGGAATATTCAGCTTCAGTCACTTTGTGTGATAGTCGTTTCTTTGAAAGTTATATTGCTGTGAAGCTACACTCACCTAGAAAATACCATGCACCTAATGAAGCAACTTTTGTACCACGCTGAAATTGCTCCTAAAGGCTGCTAGAACTGAAGAAACACTGAATTTCGGCGAGACAAGGTCAAGATTTTTAAGGCTGTTTTTTCAGAATCGATTCATGGTGTTACACTGAGCGAATCTAATTAACACTTCAACCCAAATATCTACGCATTGGTGATCAAGGGGCGACCTTACAGCTCAAGAATTCAACATTGATGCAAGGTTCGTGGTGATTTCTTCAATTATGTCGCCGGATTTTCATCGTACTAAAAACTAATAACATATAATTAGTTTACTTCGTCGACTGGAACGCTGATTAAGTTTGCTAATCAATTCCCAAGTAGGGATATGCCTTGAGTTCACTATTTGTATAAATATTGAAACCCGAAAACAAATCGTCAAAAGAGTCGAAGATGTTTCTCATTGTTCTTATTGCATTGTTTGCTGTCTTCGCTCGTTCAATCGATTCGGCTACTCACTACAACAACCATGGGTATCCAATAGGCGCATATAATGGATACAATGGAAACAATGGATACGGTGGCTACAACAATTACCACGCACCCAACGCTTATGGAGCAAACGGAGGTTACGGAGGATACGGAGGTTTAGGCGGCTACGGAGGCTATGGAGGATATGGAGGCTATGGAGGCTACGGAGGATATGGAGCAAATAACTACGACGGCGAAGAAGGTGAATACGATGATGAAGGAGATTATGGATATGGCGAGCATGGAAATGCCGCGATAGTGCATCCAGGATCGAAGGAATTGTACATCGAACCCCATGGAATATCTAAAAGTGTTTCAGTTCAGTCGTTGTACCAGACGCACCCAAGTCCATATGGTTATGCTTCTAATTATAAGCCATTATATGGCAGCACTTATTACAAGAGGTAATTACCTGCGGTTGGCGCTTAATTGCGTTTGAAGGTTTATTTAATTTATTTTATTTAGTGTTAAACGCAAGTGCTATTGAAGCCGGCTATTATTGAATAATGTTTGTTATACTTCAATAAAAGATTGATTTTGAGTGAAGTGGCTATTTATTAAACAATTACAGCTGGTTTAAGAGCCAATTAAAAATTTTGCCTGTGAATATTTTCTCAGTCGGTGATTCGATTTGAATATTTTTTTTATAATATATCATAGCATTATTCTGGGGCGAAATTTGAATTATAAGACTAGCAATTTCAAATCGGCTTTTGAAAGGAAAGCAACAAGTAAGAGTGAAAATGTGTGAAAAATATTTATATTAAACATTTCGGTTTTACATAATGCATTTTCTTCCACGGTTATATAGGAATGAAAGTTTATTTCTAGAAGAAGAGTTCGCTAAGAAAAAAATGAATTATGACATTGAAAATGCAGAAAATTCTGTTTGAGATTGAAAATAACAAAAATAACAACTAAAGCTAATTAAAGAAACAGTGGTGGTTTACGATTTTTCTATTTCAATGGAATGAAGAAAGCGCTTTCTCAATTTTTGTGCTCTATAACACGACGTCTATTTTATTCGGCATTATTGGGAAGAGTAAATCAGTGATTAAATCAGAATTTTCACATTTTAGCTTGAATGTGAAAGTTGAAGAAATGATTGTTCACGTAAGAACCTAATAATGTTGAAATTTGATAAGTGAGATAAAAACTTAAAGGATTGAGTCCTAGTAGATGATTATTGATAACTCAAACAATTTTTATTACAAAAAAATATGGTTGTAAGAGCCTCAAGTTCAGTAAAACAGTAAAAAATTACTTTATATGAAATTACTTTGGAAAGAAAAGACAGTTAAAAAAAGGGCCAATCGGTAAAATTTTCGTTGGTATAACAAAACGCAGATCTGGTGGAAAAGCAAAATAACTCTATAGGTGAGCGCAAGGACAGAGTTCTATTTAAAAATGCTTCATCTGCTTGAAATTTAGATGAAGAAACTTCGTACTTAAATGAAGAAAATGCAACAGCTGGTGAATTAAWAATTTGCTTTCATTTCATTTGACTTAATTCAGTGGCAAAAACATGCTTTTCTCTATCAGAACCTTGGAGTGTATCTGAAAAATAAGCAAAGCCTTTGGTTTTCTAATACAATATCATGTTTTTTCCAAGTACGCTTGTTCGGATAATTTGCTAGATCAATGCGCTTCTCGTGGAATATTTTTGCTTGAATTGCATAAGCGTGAAGAAAACGTTCCAAACGACAAATTTGAGCGTATYTTCTTTTCAATCCGGTTGCTTTAGACGATAAAAGCAGGACTTTTTTTTATCAAATCGTCTGCATCGGGCACAGATCTAACCAATAAGAAATATGAAAGGAAAAACATCAGAAAACAAAATAAACATTACGAATACAGTATTCAAGTCAGTGCAAAAGTTATAGCAAAAWTTCGAGCAGACTTTCAAGAAGATTTTTTTTGAAATTTAAGAAGTTGAATAGAACTAGAACACAGGTGTAGATATGTATTTTAAAATATTTTATGTCTGAATRGAGGACGAATGGAGTCAATATGGCACATTTGATGAGAGAAGCAGCAGAATCTGAATCATTCTCAAAAGGAAACAAGCGAATATTAAAAAAGCAACTTTTGTTACATTAGTCAAACATAGAAACGCCTTCCTGATAAAGGGAAAGGAAAGTTGATTTGTATTACGATTCGAAGATCACTTCAAAACAAGTTTGAAGTAAGTAACATTTAAAAATCGTGTCCTGCTTTTCATAGAATTGAAAGCAACTTTTAACAGAAGAAATTAAAATAATCAGTAACTTTTATCCGATCTCATTGGTAGATAGGGATTGATATGCACTTATCAGTAAAATCGAGTAAATTCCAATAGTAATATTCAACCGCATAACAACTAACTAGATAACTACTAAATAAATTAAAAATTTGTTAATCTGAAGCAGTCAAAAAGCGGACTATTTTACCACATATACAAGAAAACCCGACGACCTCAACAATCTAATAAACCCAAACATGATATCCTGTTAAACTTTTGAAATCCTGCATATTTCGTGTACCAACGACCATTGGGCAATACGTTAAATTCTTGTTGCAAAGCAATTCAAGCGGAATCGTGAGTCGCAACCGCAGCCATTTGACTTTGAACTTAATAGTAGCAAAAATTCAGCTTTTTATGTAATTGACTTCTGATTATTATAATAAACTAGGTTTGCGAAAAAACTGTTATGGATTTGACTTCAAGGTAGCAGTGTATGAGCGTATTTGCAGCAAAAAAACAAACAAATTATAATCGTTTGATTTTCTTATGCTAACACCTCATAGGAAATTTGTTGCAAAAAGCTGAGTGATTGTGAATTAAAGTTGTAAATTAAAAATGCATATAGGGAATGCAGTGGAGCGTTTCAAAAGTTGAACAAATTCCAAATTTTCGAGTTTAAAATTGGTGTTGGGAAGCAAAGAATCGTCTGCAAATCCAAATTCCACAGACAAAGTATAAGGAGCAAAAAACTTTAAAAAATTTTGTTTTGTTGTTTTCTAACTAACACGCATTTTACGGACTTCAGCTTCAGATAAACTTTCCAGTTACTTCAATGGGTTAATTTTTCTCAATTTTTCCCTATTTTATCTGTTTCTTTGAGAGCCTCGTTTATTTAATATTGAATGGTCAAGAGTAGGTTTCAGTTTTAGTTAAGCTTAAAAATTTTAAGTACATGATAGAAAGTTTGAGAGCAAAGAGTTTGGGAAAAGGCAAAACTAAAACGTTAATTTGTAGATTAAATAGCAACCAAATTTGCTGGATACAGATTTAAAATGTGACGATCAACATGCATGACACAAAACTTTAAATAGTTAGTTGTTTTTAGAGGATTCGAATGTTTACATAAGAAAATAGAATCGATCTATTGGTCTATTCGTTGAGGACTGTATACAGTTCATAATAAAAAAGGATTTTCCAAAAATCATAGAAATAAAAAAAAACGTGTAGGAAGATGGAACTTTTTAAAATCAAATGTTTTAATCTACATTAAACGAAACTTTTTACAGGTCAGTTAATGGGTTATTAGATTTATTTACAATTCATTTATCTATTCAGTTAGTCGTTTGCATAATTTAATTTGAATTTTTGACTTTTTTCCCCCAAAGGACTTTAATTAAATAGGTTAAGGATTCTGAAGAACTACTTTCTGTGAATCTTTGCTTTCATTTGTTACTGTTATATTCTACCTATTTTTAATTTATTGTTTTAATTACACTGGAGACGTACCTTATGCCCTGTTTAGTTTTCGTACATGCGTTTTTCGGAGTTTCAATATCATCGAGCAAAAGCATAAAAAACGTTCATTAAGAATATTTCCTTGTGCGGGGAGTGCAAGATATACAGAACAGTACGCAAACGAGGCAATTGACCTAAACATGAAAAAGAAAAACATCAAAACTTAAAATTTTCACGAGTTTTAGACGAAGCGTAGTTCTAAAGGCATCGAAAGTTTAGTAAACATTTTCGGAAAACCTGATTTTTTTGCGAATTCATTCAAAAAATACGTCTTTCACATACTGAAAAAAATACGTCTTTCACATAAAAGCAAATGAATTCAAATTTTCTTCCAGTTATAGAAAACGCCTGATTCTAAAGAGACGGAATGTATTATGAAAATTGTGCGGAATATTGAGTTTTTCCAGTCTAGTGAAACCCAGTCTCATAATGAATGTTTTCACTCGACTGCGCTCTCTCATCTCAAAATTTGCATACTCCAAATTAGAGCAAGTAGCAGGCTTGAAACTTTCAGCATCTATAGAATATACTTCCACTTTGCGCTGAAAATTCTAAAATCTGCATGAAAATCGGCAAAAACATCGATATCAAAATGGAAACCTTTACCCTACTGCACTCTCTTCTTTAAAAAATCACTGTGTCCACACTAAAACAAGTAGCATTTTGAATTTCTCAAAAAATGTACAAAATACTTGAGTCTAAACACGTGGAAAGTTTAATAAAAATCACCAAAAATCCTGATTTTTGCCAGTTTAGTAAATATCGGTCTCATCATATATGTTTACACTCAACTGTGCCTTCTCTTCTAAAATGAATTATTTTCTTGAATTTTTTGCTGTCAATAGAAAAGTCACTTTGCACTATCTTATATTAGGCGACCGTGTAGGAAAATCTACAATGTATTTCTTTTAATTGTGATTAACAAAAGTGTGGCAATTTTCTTTCCGTATTACAGTCTCAACAAGATGAAGAAGAAAACGAACAATCAGGAAGTGTTATTGCAAAAGCAAAACTTTTAATAGTTGGTAATAAATTTAGGAAAGTCAACAGTAACAAAACATAAAGATTAATTGATGAAAATTGCATAGCAAGCCGAACATTTTTCAGAAAAAAGCCCTTGCTGTCGTTGTTTCCAAGTTTAAAATTTCTTGCATAGAAGGTTTTTTGCAATCTTCTAGGTCCTTTACCCTATTTTTATTGAGTTGATCAACGAATAAGCTGAAACAAGTTGTTCCACTGTTTCGTCTATCTACTTAACTGAAAATCTTCAGCTTATTTTGAATGAACTTAGCAGCCCGTTGGTTCCACTTTATGGTACATGCCTGCTGACTGATTCTTCCTGTTTTGCGGCATAATTCACAAATTTTTGCAACCCATTTCATAGCAAACGACGTACGAGTTTCGTCAACTGAACCGCATATGTGCATTTTGTCGCCTTTAAAGCAACGATTTGAAAGACTTACACGGCTTGACTTATGTAACCACATTGAAGCCTGTTTCTTGTGCCTGAAAAGAAAATTGTTATTTCCATTAACTACACCTAATCGAAATTAATTCGTTTGTTTACGTATTCCTCGGGCAAACACATTAACATATCTGATTAAGGTGCTTAATAGTCCATGAGATTTTTTGAACAATGTCGAACAATTGTAACAAAACATGCAAGGTCTGTTTTTATTATTAAATGTGTACACATCAAAATTTACGCAATGAGTCTTAATATCCCATTATATAAACCCTCCGGGTTGCTGAAAAATGTATCAGTAGACCAAAGCAACAGCGACGATTAACTACATTCCAAAAAGATGGTTTCCAAAATTTTCGTTTGTGTCTTCGTTGGGCTTGTAGCTGCATGTGCTGCAGCGCCAGGCTTCATCCACGGCTACAGCGACTTGGCTTATCCAGTAGCTACCAGCTACAGCAACAGATACGACGTTCACGACTACACAGTTCCAATAGTGAAGAGCTACGCATCGCCGTATTATGGATATTCTGCTCCAGCTTACGGTGCATACAGCTCTTACGACTATGGACATGGATGGTAGATGGTTCACAACTATTTTGTACTAGTTACTAGGTACTAGATACTAGTTACTTACAATTTTAGATTCTAAGAAGTATATTGTATAAAGGTGTTAGTTTTTTATGGATTGAGTCTTTTATCAAGTGCTGAATAAATTTTTCTAAAACGAGTCAATTTGTTTTCGTGTTGAAATTGGGCCATTTCATTTTAAGCCAGGGATGGAAATTTATGAAGGTTTCTGGAAAAATGCTCCTTATCTCTAACCTAGAGAGCAACTTCGTACCCAGCGACGGTTGAAGAAAAGTTAAATTTCCACCGTGTTTAGTCTGGTTAACTTTAGTTTTAGATTAAAACCTCACTTAATGAGAATAGGGTGTTATCATTCTATCAAAAATTCCTACAAACTGAACATTAATCTATGGTTCACATATATATGAAAGATTAAATAAGTTTATACTATCTATCTATTGATATCTTGTTAAATATTTAATAAACAAATTCAGCTAAAAATCAAATTATTCATGAATCTCTAAAACGCAATCCTATTGGTTGTGACGTCTCTGGTCATATAAATGGCGGATTGTTTACGTTCTATGTATAGTGTTTAGTTTGCATAGTGTTTAGTTGTGTGGTTGTGTTTCATTAATTATTTTGTGAATTTAAATAATTTATAGTTTGTGTTAAACTAAAAAATCGCTTCTGAAAGATTCCTTAAAGCGTCAACAAACAGTTTACCAAGTGTACATATTTTTATGGTTATCGAATTTTTAAAAAACGACCAACGTCTTAATTCAGCCGAATGTAAGGGTGTCAAAGCAGCAGCGTAAGTGAAAATCCGTAAATTAATTATTAGTTACTCTCTCCTTAATATACTGATCTATCTGTGTTGGTTGAAATTAGATAAGTAGTATATAGAATTTCACTTATTCAACTTAACCTAACTTATACACATGGCTGCTTTAAAAGTAAAATTCACTCTTAAATTTGTATTTTGGGCATTACGAGAACAATATGATGCTATCGGATATGTGGAATTGAAACGCGAGGGTTCTTTGTGCACTGTACAAGATAGAATTTGCCCAGAACACAGAGTACGATCGAAGGCATATTCTGTCTGCCTCATCATTAGCTTTTTGTTCGTACTTTCATTGAAATGATCCTCGCAACAAAAAAACATTAATTTTGATTTAGGAACATCACGTCTAGCTGCTTTGAACTATAAAACTTTACATGCATAATCATGAGGAACGGTTAGAAAGAGTTTGTTTGGAGCAGTTATTGAGATATTCTTGCATCCTGGCACAAACCACCACTTATTTTGTGATCCATGCATGTCACTATTTTCCATTATGCAAGATAATAATAATAATCAATAAAATAATGATAATCACAATAACTTAAATAATAAAACAAAGCTGCGAAAACAACAAAATAAACACGAGACACTTTGTTGATATGACCTGCTACGTCACAATTGGGATAGACAACCGACGATACGGATTCGGCGTTTTTGGCGGAAAACATCTGATTTGAATTTAAATTCGCTTTAAAATTATTATGGACTTTTTTTGCAAAAAAAAATTATGTCAGTGTAATGTTTGCCATAACTACTTTCTATATATCAACATTTAAAAAAAAGTAAAAACACCCTATTATTAGAAAGAAATTGATAAAAGCAAACATGAGCAATATGTTTTTGAGGGCAAAACTTTTGATCCCAAGCAAATAGAAGATTTAGAGAAAGGTTAATAAAAAAAACCACTCGATAATAAAGAGTTAATTAATGGCCTATTTATTAATTGAAAGTTCTTATCGATTAATAATTCCAAATATATCTCATTTCGTCTAGATCCTTAACAGTTTTTATTACCCTAATTAATTTTTTTTAATACATTTGCTCAAATAACAAGTAATTTCCTTGATGAGGAATATAAATAGATTCAACTAATATCGAAACTTTCATTCAATTTGGATAATGTTGTTTCCATTAAAAATTAGCATTTTGATTCGAGAATAGTTGCAACTCCATAGTTCTGTATTCATGAAATATTTGAGATTGCATTATGTAGATGTGAATTTTTGATGAAAAATTTATTATATTTGTAATTAATCTTATAAATAAAGAAGAAAATCAAACTTTGTCGAATGTTACTGATCTAAGTAGGTACAGATTTCAATGTGTGTTAATCCCAGGCTCCCCAGGACCGGTTTTGAGATTATTCGCTCGCATCAGCTGTGTTTCGCCTCAAATGAACACTCTCAAATCCTGCACTTTACTTCCTTCAAGTATTGTCCAACATTGTTGTAAATTTTCTGGGCAGAAAAAATAGAAGAAAGAATCTGGGGCAAAATTTTAAAATCTACTTTAAGTTTTTAGGGATTGTGGATATTTAAATTAGTTGAAACACTGTTGAAAAATTACTAATTGGAAACATGATTATGCCATCTGAAACTTTGGTTGTGCCCAAACCTCTAAATGAGAATTTGATCTTTTCGTACAAAAAACATTGGTTCCCAAAAAATTGAAACACGATTTATCGGTTCATAATAGTTACCTGATAAAAACTGAATACAAAATGCTCATTATATTTTCCAAATATCAAAACAGTGTTTTTCAGCAAAATACTTTTAAATGTATAAACAGTTCAGTCTAGGAAACATAAAATTTAATAATTTCTATTAATGCGACAATAAAGTTGAGGCTTTCTATAAAAAAAACCTGTTGTGCTTTTCCCTTGCAAGTGGCTAAAGAGGTTTAATAATGATACCAAGCCCTGAAAAACTGAGGACTGAGATCTGCACCTTTTATATGGTCAGAAATTCAATGAAAACCACTGGTTCTGTAATTTTATCTCTGCTCCTCTAAATCTTCGAACATTTTTCCGTATATTAAATGAATTCTAAACACAACAGTAGTCCTTATGCAAAACAAAAATAATCGTATGCATGAATGTTAAGTGAGCAAAAATTATTATTTAATAGTTGCACCATTAGATTGAAAATATGCAACCAAATGGACCATCGGCCTTAACAAATGAGGGCCTTGTTGCGAAATTGCCCTATCAACATCAATTAGAATATTAGCAATAATTGTCGGTATTTTTCTTCAGTTTCAATGTATGCGGGTCATCTATAAAAGGCTGATTTTCCTTACGGAAAATCTACCACATTCGATTTTCAACTGTTGCAGTCACAACGATTTTATCGAGATGTTCAAAGTTATTCTTTTGTGTGCTGTTCTTTTAGCTGTGGTGCATTGTGCTCCTAATCCCGGTTATTCATCGCTTTCAGGTACGATTAATAAAATGAAAGATCGCCTTAGAAAGGAATTTAAGGAGAGCTTATAAAAAAAAGTGCAATCAGTTATCGAATAAAAGCACTGCTCATCTTGAAAGTGTATTTTAAATATAAAACTGTTTTTCGGTTTTGAATTTTCGAGCCTTTCAAAAGTGGAACTCCTTCTCAAAAAGTCCATGCTTTACTTTACGCCAGGACTTTACAGCGATTTGCCAGACCCAGAGAGAGAGTTTTTTTTCTACATTAAATCCAGTTTTTCAGCCTGTATTAACCAAATCTGACCGCGGTGTAGCCAGAAAATCAAACAGGAATCAAGTATCAGGGATTTTTCCTAAAAAGGCACTATTTATTCAAACTGTGTTGATCCCAAAACCTTTTTGTTACTATAACAAGCTTAATCTGTTTTAAATTTGTTTTTAATTTTGGAGCTTTTGGGTTATTTGCCTGTGTTAGTAAGTCTACGGGATTTTTCGACGATTTTCGAGAGTATAAAAATTAGAGCGGTTTTTTGTTGCTCTCGTTAACTGATTCATTTCTGTGTATTATTTAAATCCGGTTTTGTTGTCTGTATTGTCCAAACTTTACTGATTTGTATCTAATCAACCAAACGCGTTTGAATTATTGTAGATTTTATAACGGCAAATTTTCAGGCTTTTACAAGAATGTTCAGTAAATTTTCAAAGCATGCTTTCAAATTCCATATTTATTTTCAAATATTTTCAACATTTTGAATAGTCGTTTTAAACTCGTCTCACCAACCACCCATTAGTATACTAAACAATAAATCAAAAATGTTTCTAATCAGTATTTCTATAACAATTTTAATGTTTTGTTTTATTGAACAACCATCCAAACCGAAGACATTTCGGGACGATTCCAAAAAAATCACAAAAACTGACTAAATAGTCGCATTTGTTATAATAAATTGTAATTTTCTAGCCGTAAGCCCTCTCTCATACGCATACTACCGACCATACTCCTACTGGCACAACTCGCCATGGTACAGCTCTCCTTGGTACTCAAAATACTACTCCTATGGAAATTATTGGTAATGGAAAAGAAGCCCAAATTGAAGCTAAAGTCATGGCTGTAAATGAATAGTGTGTACAATAATAAATAAACTGTTTACCAGTAAAATTGAAAGTTATTTGTAAAACAACCGCAACTTTTCTTTCAGCCACCATCCCTCAACAGGACATCCAAAACTCCTCTTTACTACCAAACAATCATATTTCTTTGAATGCAATATTGTATGCGAACATTGCTAAATTATTAGAGCAATTTTGATTGTTTCAGCCGGTCACGCTTATTAAGAGACATGAACGATTGGTTTCTTTTGTTCCACTACGTCGAAACGAACGGCCACAATGAAAACAACAAAACAATCGATAGAAGATAAAGAAAAAACAAAGAATGGATCAATTAATCAAAGGACGTGCGATGACCTTTATGAAAGGTTTGCCGTTTACCGTAAACCACTTGTGTAAGAATGGAGAATTGCACGCCACTAGTTTCACATCGGGAAGAAAAGAAATCCTTTATTTTTATGTGAACAGCCTCAAAGTGACAAACACTTGAAAGTTTCATCAAATCGTTATTTCTGCTCTTCATCAGGTGCTTGATATTCGGATCAAACAGAAGAAAATCACTTTAGAGCTTAGTGTAACTTTTGTAAAATGGTATCGTTGGAAAAAGATGCGTATGTTCCTCTTTACTTCATTATACTCTTTCACCATTTTTTCCATCACAACGCGCATCTCTTCTTTAGGATTGAGGTTTTCATGTTTCCACTTGTTCATTGCAATTCACTCGGTTCAGACACATGGTTTTCACAGATCATCAATTTTTCCTTCGTCAACAAATTCTCAACTTTGGCTTTTAAGTTTTCGAGTTACATTTCATTCTCTTGTCTTGCAAATTATTTTTTAGCTGTGCTGTAAATTTGCTATTAATTAAAGAGTTTATCATGAGAAAGTCTCTTTCCTTTCTAGTAAACCGATGTTATTAGAAAGCAAACCATCTTCCATTCCATCGATTCTAGATTAAATTTGAATAGATATTTGCATCTCGATTCTACCAGTCTCTTGCATCTAACACTTCTCCAGTTCATCATATTTTACATTGTTATTACTTCGGATTTTGCCAATTTTAGCGTTAAAGTCGCCCAATATAAAAGCATTTCTGACCTTCTTATTGTTCTTAAGCATCCTGGAATGTCTTTATTCTAAAAGAGTTCAGTTTTGCGATGTCTCATTAAAATGTAGCAATTTTCTGAATATTTCAAAAAAAATGATATATTCCTGCTCTTAAATTGTTTCTCTTCTCGTAAGCTATTTATTCTCCTTAACTAAGCTACCACTTTCACTCCATTTCATCCAAAGCAATAAATTCGCCGTTCATATTCTGCCATTGAATCATGCACGCCCATAAGTTCCATTAGACAAACAAAATATTAGCTATAGTGAATTTATTATATTCCTCATCTTCGTTTCTATTCTCAATTGAATCTGAGGCAAAAATGTTTCATTTCTTTCATTTTATCATTCCGTTACTTTTGAAGCAAATAATGCAGACATTTAAGTATAATTCGTAATATTTGCTTATAAGTTTTTGTTTTTTCTTTCAATCAAGTTTGTATGTGGCCTTTTTTCCACTTCACTGCATTAGATAGGAGTCAAAAAAATTGGCATTATTTATATCTACCAATTTCAGTAAATATTGAAATTACCTGTGGGTCTGGGTGTTAAAATGTTTAAAACGCTGATTTTGCTGCAGGCTCAACAGTTTTCTTGAAACAAGTTCAAAGTTATTCTTTTGTGTGCTGTTCTTTTCGCTTTGGTGCATTGTGCTCCCAATCCCGATTCTTCATCGCTTTAAATACGAAGAATCAAATGAAGGATTGTGTTAGAAAGAAATTTAAAAAGAGGATATAAAAACGTGCAATTATTTTTCCCCTAGAAAGATTTTTTTATTTAAATTGTGTTGATCTTGAAACCTTAGTCAGTAAGTAGATTCTTCGCTTTTAAATTTTCGAGCATTTCAAAAGTGCAGCTTTTAGTTTATTTATCTTTGCTAAAAATTCCACGGGATTTTACAGCAATTTTTAACTGATTTATTGCGTTAGAGATTTTCAAAAAGTTTCAGGATTTCATCCGAATTTTGACAACGTTTTTGAAGCAAACTCTTCGAAATGTATTTGCAAATATTTTCAACATTTTTTTCAACACAAAAGAATTGGAATATTTACGCATTTCCGCAAATATCAAAGTTAACGGAGGATCAGGATGTTAAATGTTAAAATTCTTGAACACCAACATACCAATCTTAACTTGACTGGAATTATTTGTTCAAACTGATCATAATTCGTTCAACCATTGAGCGAATGAGAACACATGAGGCGATTTATTGAATCCCGATAGCTTTTATTGCGAATTATTTTTGATAATACAGTCAAGATATTCGAGAAATTAAAATGCTTTCTTCGTAAACGCATCAATTACAACAGAGTTAATTTTCTAAAAATGCTGAATAAATACAATCAATTCCTCTACTGAATCAAGCGGATTCTTAAAAATAAAAATACCGCTTATTTTTTTCAACTCTGTCTACTGTTAAAGCGAAAATTATTGTGCTTGTTTTATACAGTTTTTTTTTCATTTCATCACTTTGCTGCCTAACTTGCTTGGTTTTGGCTTGATTGATCAGTTGAGAATTCGCATTTTAGCGGTTTCTTTCTGTGTTGGGCTGTTTTCCATTTTCCTGCCTTTTTGCAGTTTGGCGCTACTAGAAGTGAAGGCTGAAGTGTTGTTTGAATGAATTTTGAAAGGAGAAATAAAAGTGTTCAAAGTGAACAAAAGTTTATCACTAATAATTAATTGTTGAGAACGTATAGAATAGTATTCAGGAGCTACGAAGGCAACTTCACATAGCATCCAAATATCCAAAGAAAAATTAAAAGGGAACATTTGAATTAAAAAAAACTAGTTTATACTGTGCTTTTTAATTTTATACTTAACTACCAGAGTAAGAAGATCAAAGTGTAATTCTTAATCTAACGTAAACCTGTGAAGTAGAAACGCTCAAATATTGATTAAAAACGCAAAAAAACGAATAGAAAAATGAATGTTCGAACGGCCTTTGGCTAAACTGGCCGTTAATTAAGCTATAACATACCAATGATTCAACAGTATGAATTGCAACAATACCACTTGTCAGCCAACACGCAAAACCTAATAAACCTATTAAGTGTGTTTCAAGAACAAACAAAAGACCTGCAAAATATTGCATAAAGAACACACAGACGCGGCCAGACCTTAACCAAACGTAAGAATTATTTAATAAAAGTGTTTATAATTACGTCTTTGTGCCATATTCGTGAAATTTGACGGTCATCGTGTGAAACGAAGTGTAACAATGGTGGACCAATGCGGTTTTTCTCACATGGCAAATACAACAAAAAAAACTGTTGCGAAAGACCGTTTTCCTGCCTGTTGGCTTTCTTGGGTGGATGCCGGCGATAATTCTTTGCTTGTATAAATAGCAAGACTTTTGTAATGGATATTTAAATCACTTTGGCATCACATTGTGTTAACATCTCAGCCCCAAGCAGTAAAAAAATGTTCTGCAAAGTTGCGCTTGTAGTAGTTTTGAGTGTTGTGAGTGTGGCCCAGTGCGCCCCTGGATATCTTGGAGGTTACCATGGCCTTCCAGCGGCCACCTCCTATTCCTCCAGAATCGATATCCATGGACCCGAGTATGTGAAGACATATGCAGCCCCTGTTATAGCGAAAACCGTCGTAGCAACTCCCATAGTAAAAACCATCATTCCCAGCTACCATGAGCCCTTGTTGGGATATGGCGGTTATGGGCTGGAACATGGTTATGGATATGGTCAAGGTCTGGGTTATGGTCAAGGCCTTGAATATGGACATGGACTTGAGCATGGACTGGAGCATGGACTTGAACATGGACTTGGGCATGGACTTGGCCATGGACTTGGGCATTATTACTAACTGAAGAAGTCAAGTATTTTAGCTAATTTCGCCTGTGTACATAAAGTAGGATTTTTGCTTTTGTATGTGTAATAAGAAAAGAAATACATTATTTCTCTGAGTATTTTTCACAGGATTTATTTCAATCGGTTCTGCTGAAAAAAGGCAGTATTTGTCTGCAGGTTTGCTATATTCCAGAGAACGCAAACAAACATCTTATATAAATAGCGTTTTAATTGAGTCCAAGTGAAGCTGAGTTAGACGATCCAGCCAATAGTGCTTAACTCCTGTTTTTGTCCTTGTAGTTCTTTCAAAGTGCTACCATTCTAAGGTCTCAATTTGAAAAAATCAAACCAAAAATGTAGTTGCTCACCCGAAATCGACGTAATTCTCCTGAAGAGATTGTGGAGTTTAACGCTCCATGGAAAAGTTTGTAAAGTATAGCATAGAATAGAATTTACTAATATCTGAAATTTTATGATAATTTGCAGTATTTAGTCAAATTAAATGTGGCTAGAACTCTTTCAAAAAGGCAGACGTTCTAATGTCCATGTATTACCCATCTCTTCCTATATCCCAACATAAAGCGATCCTCCAAGTTTATTCATTATTTTCTCCTCCCAAGTTTATTTACCATTCAATTGACCGGAACTCGTTAAGTTACAGTTTCGTATTTCGTACTTTGTTCGGTGTAATTGGAAAAATTAAGCCTTTAGGAAGAACAAGTCTTCCGACATCAGTTAATTGTTTATTAGACAAACTTGATAATTGCTTTCTTCAGAAATGGTTTGTTTCTAATATTAGATATTTCTTGATTGACTTTCTCAAACTGGGTTCTTAAAAAGTCGACAAAAGCTGCAGCTTTTTCAGCGTCTTTATTATGTGGTTTGTGTATATCTTTGGTTGTGTGTGTTTCGGTTTCTTGTCACAAGGATTTTGGATATTAAAACTCTTCAGATGGACGTTTCCCCTGTGTTTGCAACTTTAGGGAAACTTCATCAGGGCCGTATGCAGCTGCAACCCCAAAATGAGCTTCCACTTTACTTTCAAGCTTTGCGGAATTGAAAGTTTATCAATCAGGTTTGGGAATATTAATCTGTTTTTACATGCATGTTACAAGAATTCACGAAGGAAACAGTTGCTATTGTTCAGTTTTTTTCATTCTAAAAATCGGCAATATAAGTTGCATTATAACAATTTCCTGAGTTATTCAAATGTAGAAATCGAGCGTATATGGATCAGGACCTACATCGGGCTTAAAAATTTTCTCTGGAATTGAAAAAAAAACTTTCTCTGAAAGTGGCGGAAATGTATTTAATTTTATACGGAGATATTTAAAGCTTAGCATTTGAATAATTTGCGAAAATTTAAATAAAATTATTGATTTTGATAATGTTTGAATGTATTGAACTTACTAAACTTTTTTAAATTGTGATTAACAAAAATTTTCAACAAAGTCAGCAAACAGCAAAAATGTTACACTTACAAAATAACCACCTACGGTATCTTAATTAAAAAAATAATTTTTTATGGAATTTTTATTCAAGCCTTGTCCAAGATGACTTCAGATAATTCACTTCTTTACCACTGATAGTTTTTTGTAGATTTTCTTCTCAGAATTGTGTCTAAGGGTTTTTTAGAAGCAAAGTCTGCGTGTTTTATATGCTATAATTTGCTAAATAAGAGTGCCAAGAATATAAAAATGTATAGTCGATACTTTCTGGGGCGTTCTTCTGGACTGAACAGCTTTAATCCACATTAAACAAAGCAGTAAGTCAGCACAGTAATTGCTTCGGATACAATAGTTTCGTCCCATGTGTACCACATATGTGCCTCAATATCATGAAAACCATTAAATCCTGCATTCGAAACATACGTTTTATGTTTATATAAAAATCTTATTTTCTTGCATGCTTTAATTGTACATGATGTTCTTCTGTAAGGCTTGTGACTTCAACAATGTTACATAAAAAAATTTAGGAAATCACCTTATGACTTGAGATTTTCTTGCGGTTGGTAACATTGTAATTTTTTTTAAACTCTTATGCGTAATTTTTTGCAGGATAAAACTACTTTCCTACATATAAATTGGGCATTTGTTTGATTGCTGAAGTCGGGTGTCTAAGTATATCTTCCTTTAGGATTTGTCAGGTTCCCAAAAATGTTTTTGCCATCAGTTTCACTATATATACAAAAATTCTATAGATTGTCAAAAACCGCGCTCTATATTTTCCGTTTTTGAGCTAAAACTGATCCACCTGTTTTTGTGTAATTATTTTGTACCTTGCTGTGCTTCATTTTCTTGTTCTTTACGTATTTACTAGATTGTTCGCTTTCGTAGAATTTCGCTTCGAGGTGTACAATTATTTATCTTTTTAATGACAAGTATGTTCGCTCGAATTGCTTTCAGTATCTGATTTTAGAATTCGTTTTTTGTTCATATGCATTGGGACGATTTCTCTGAAGGAAGAATAACACACTACTAAAACTAATTAAAGTGTAAAATAGCATAATTAAAAAATATGTAAAATAATAGGTAAAATAAGGCGATGTAAATTATGCCCCGCCAGATAATTTTATATATTTTTGCTCCTGCAATCATGGTTTTAGATTTATCTCCTCAAGTACTCCCAAGCCAGAGACAGCAAGTACAAATCTACCAATCAACTGCTCATTTGTCCATTTGACTATTCAACATTGATAGGCAAGCAACGCAATGACACTCAAGTCAAATGAATTTTTCATGCAGATGATGAACTTTTAACTTAGTGAAAGTCTCCGAGAAAGTACTTCTACTTGCAAATATTTCGTGTCGTCAATGGCTCGAATTTTCCTAAAAGCCACCCCGCAAATCGAGGCCGATAGAAATCTCTTGAAGTTTAGCACATATGAAGAGTATTTGGACTCGCTGTCCACGGCACAAGATGCTTGCTACTTGCAGAGCGTCGAAGCGTCCAGAACTATAGCAAATTTGGGTATCTATTCGGCGTGGTTTCTGGTTTTCCTTATTCGCTAAGAATTTTTTAGGATACAGAAGCTCAGGTGAAACCTTAAGTCGCGAGCAGTTTGAGAAGAGGCTGGCTGCAGTGTTGAACTACCTCTACCCTCCTTACAAGGCTTATGAGTTGTCTAGTGAGGGCTTAGTGAATTCGGATACAGATCCCATTATTCAAGAACTGGCTTCCAGGCATGTGCCAAAACTTCCAGTTTTTCAGTTGGGTGAAACATTTCTTTCTCAGGGAGCGAGCAAACAGGATAGGAATACTCTCAACCATAATATTCTTGAGGACATTCACTAAAAGCGGTATAGAAGTATCTGGCTACGTCGACTACACGGAAAGACTATCGAAGGAGGATTTGAAACCAGTTTTTAAAGGTTTAGAAGGCACCGACTTTGAGCTGCAGAGTAATTTTTCCGAATTGCAGGCCTCAAACTGCTAATGCCCAGAAAGTGCGACTTGGGTTTCTACCACTGGAAATCCGGAGATGTCTACTCGAATGACTCGTTCAACTACAAGGTCCTGCAGCATCCACAAAAAGGCCTGATTTTCCAGAACCGATTTGATCGAAAAACCATTAATCCCAATCCCATGGCCGAACCAGGTGATGTCTATTCGTGCAATTTTCGCGAGTTGAGGGCGGTTTTTTAGGTCCAAATACTTCGAGGAAACGAATCTACTCAAAACTGTACGAGCTTTGCATTCTATTCGATCACGTAGTCAGGCAGAGAATATGATTATCTAGGGTATGGGTAAATAGGGCCAAAACCTCGTTTCTTTTAATATATCATGCTGTGAATATCAGTGAGTATTTTTTTAACAAACTGAAAGTAATTTGGATGTTTGAAAATATGAAAAGCTAATCACAAAAATTAAACGTTGTTTTTAATGTCCTTTTGTGTGCCGTTTGTTGTTTTTCATCTACTTACATCTTTTTATTTCAGTGCTAATTAGAATTAGTTTTCTTGTTTTTACACGGCAGTTGAGGTTACTTTACTTAAATAGCTTTTTGGGAATTTTAATTATCTTTGATTCATTGCTTGGAAGTTGTTATTTGTCTTCTGATCATTGGCTTGTAAAAATTTCTTTTTAACATTGTTTAGGTTCGATTGGGCGTGAATCGCATTTTCTTGGTCGAATACCTGGCAATGTACAGGATCTTTCATGGTGATGTGCAAATGATTTAAAATAAACCTTGTAAGAGGGGTTAGGAGTTTCACCGGTTTTTCGGGTCTGAGCCTTCCGAACTCCAAAATGCTCAAAAGTAAACTAGTTTTGAAATTCTCAAAATCGGCGCTTTTGATTTTTACGGGTAGTGAGACGTTCACACTTTGGAAAGGACTTTCAAACCGGCTCACATTCAAGGCGATTTCGCCATCAAAGCTAAGAATTCTGAAAATAAATTTTGGTCATAAAACTGAGCAGTAGATACAATTTTCTGGATGGCAACCTTTTGGCTAAACTGGATCAAATCTTAAATTAAATCTGCCTCTTGCTCTCTTCATCTCTAATCAGACTCTATGCAGCATTTTAAGTGAGGCACACTTCTGTTGTTCGAATATCTTCCTTAATAGGGTTGATTTTTTGGAAATTCCCAAACATGGTTGAATTTATTGCTGCCAAAAACAGTACGTACAACAAACACACAGTACAGGTAACTATCCAGAGTGAACACTTTTAACCCAAATATAGATGAAGTATACTTTAGATCTAAAAGTCTCAGAACCAGAAACATTTGAAAATCTAATTGATTTCTGATATTCGCATTTCTTTCTGGGTTCTTGAAAGGTTGGAAAGTTGGTTTACGTGAAGAACCAGCGTTTCAATATAAAACTGAATCAGTAAAACTGTAAAGTGGTGCGGTTTATTAAATTTGCAGAAGAACAATAGTTGTTTTGATGAATTCGAGTATCTGGACCAAGAGGAAGCGGTCCCCGAAGTTTCCTATAGAACATTGTTGGTGGCAGTTTAAAACTACACGCTCACCCGTGATAGCATACAAATTTCCGTGCATTTTTGGCAGTGCGTTAGAGAAAATCTACTTCTTGTATTTGATTCAAACTTGAAAAATTGGATAGATGTTAGAATTTTATTATTTCGTACAGGGGCAAAACAAGGCAAATTTTTAAAGAGTTTGGCATGCTCCCAGTAGAACTAAAAAACCGTTTTTTTACGTCGACAACAAAGGCATAGAGACAGAGCTCATATCTATACGTATAAGTATATACCTATAAAGTAATGGTGTTTCTGGAAGATTTTTTTAATTACAGGATGATTTCTATGTTTTTGCGGTGATAAGCGATTTCCTCTTGAACCGATTTTTCAAATCCAGATCGCATATTGAAGCCAAAACTTCATAGTCAACATAAGACAAAAATTTAATATACATTTTGCATGACTGCATGAATGAAGTATTTGAAAGCAAAATTCTTTGTAATTGAATTCTTGCTAATTTTCCGGATTTGGGTCACTTTTAATGCAACTCTGTATACTTGAATTTTTGCATAAARTGGACTATGAAGGTCTGGCTTCAACATGAGCCCCATTTTTGTTATGAAAATTGGTCCTAGAGGAAAAAATGTTATTACTGCAACATTAAAAAGTTGATTTTTATATCACCCTGTAATTGAAAGAAATAAGCAAAAAATTAAAATATCAGTCTGAGATATGGGGATAAATCTAATATATTTAATCATATAAAAGTGCAAATCTATAATAGGGCAGATATCGTCGGTTGAAGTTTCTGCTCGCTCAAAAACCGTTCTTCAATGAGCTGGTAGCGTGTCTTGCTGCCTTTGGAAAACTGATTAAATAAAAATTCAAAAATTTTTAGATAAGTTCTATATTGTTGAGGCGGATTCATTTTTTACAAACTTCTTTTTGGATATTTCGCCTCAAAAATTTTTGTCTTTAAAAAAGACAGAATTTCCTCACGTCTTTTATTACAG